ACAAGCCCCTTTCACTAGCTTATGATTGATGCCTCTCTCGATATATCCGGATCGCTGTGTCAGCGATTGTGATGTGACGAGGTGAGCCACCTGTTTGTCTGGCATGCGCACCAGCATGCGAGCAAGCTTGTCTGCACCCCCTTCAGTTATCACTTTCATTGCGATATCCTCGACGTAGGCATCCGTCCCAATGGGGACTCCCACAACTGTGATGCCCTCCTCCGCAATCGGTAGGCCTGCATCGCCAAGTAGCCTCCTTTCTGCTGGCGTCACGTCGTGCCCTGGTGGGGGAAGCGCTGAGCTCTTCCCCCTGTTGATGATGCCCACTGCTTCTAGCTCGTCGACGAGGTCCGGTATCACCTGAATATTTTCCGCTGTTATATTTTTGAAGTGCAGGCTGATGTCGTCCATATAAGCTTTCAAGCTTACCCCGAGGTGGTCGTACTTGGCTCTAAGCTTCAAGACGATCGGGACTAGGATGAAGCAGAACAGGGGCGGTCCCATTCCATCTCCTTGCTGCACACCGCTCTTGCACTCGATCGTCCGACGCTCTCCGGAGTCCATCGTGTATATCGCCTTTGCCGGGATTTCGTCGTAACACCTGGCGATGTACCCCACGAGATCTGGGACGCTCTTTGCGGCCTGGGCCATTATGGCGGTGCGCTTGCCCGTGTTGAAGGCATTTGAGCAATCCGTCTGGACTACCCAATGACCTGTCTGATGAACCAGTTGTGCGTCCATCGCAACTTGTTCAACTCCTCCAGCTACCGCCACTCCGAATTGGTCCGCTTCCCGAAATATTTCTTCCAGTTTCGGTTTCCACTCCCTGACCGTTCCCGCTGCAATCAGCCTTCTCCAAGTCATTCCAATGCACACTGGACGGCACTTTTCACCGAGGGCGATTAGACTGGATCGTTTCCAAAGAGTCCAGAACTCCGGTGGGAACGCGTTGGGATCGTTGATGAGCCTCCTCCAAAGGGACGACATCGCGTTGCTGAACTCTTCCCGACCAGTTTTAGTGTTGACGATGGACTTAAGGTGGGAGAATCGTTGCCCGTCATTTCCTGCTCCAGAGTTAGAGCTTCTGCTGTTGGTGACTTGAAGGAGTACTTGGATCATACTTGGATCAAACTCGGTTTCTGGCCTCCATCTCGGGGCGCTTCCTTCCTCCTCCTCGGTGCGGCTTGCAGCTATGGCTTCGGCGATGGCCTGCTCCACTTGTACGGGATCCTCATGCGGAAATTTNCGATGGCCTGCTCCACTTGTACGGGATCCTCATGCGAAAATTCGGCTTTCAGACGTGCCCATGTCTCGTCGTTCCCCGGTGACGGTTGATCGGCTAGGAGCGCTCTTGCTGCGTCCTTCACGCCTCCAGAGTGCCGGCATGCCTGCGCCGCCTTTTTGAACTTGTCGTCGGGTGCGTCTTCCCGTACCGGTCCCCTGCTCCTTGCACTCGCCGCCTTGGTATACTCAATCAGCCAAGGAAGAACGGACGAT